GTTGTGGCCCAGGAGCCTGTGGGGTCCCTGGTGCTGACCCCCCCCTCCCCGAAAGCAAAGGAGGGAGCCCCAGGGACGGTGGCTTCATCCGGGAGGGATGGAGATGGAGAAGGGCAAGGAGGGGGTCTCCTACTCCTCCACCACATCACCCCCCGGTTTGGCCCCTGTTACTCTCACCCCATAACACCGGGATCGGTGTTACTCATTGCACTTCGGGCGAGGTTATTGACGTTTATCCTCTCTCCCACGGCTGGTGGCTTGTCCTGTGATGAGGTGGGGGCCTGGAACGTGAGGTTTGCTTGTTTGTGTGATGCTTCTGGCCTCCCCCTGCACCAGGAGGACGCAAAGCTGGACCTGCACGTCTGCTTTGTGTGTTTCTTCATCCTCAATTACACTAAAGGTTCCCCAGGGAAAAATGTTTCTTAACCAGAGGAGAGAGGTAAACTGAGGCAGGACCCTCAAGAATCCCTCTCCTGCTGGGACAGAAAAAATTGCAGCAAAATACGAATTTGGAGAAGTTTTCTTGAGATGGACGCAGGGAGAGGATGCACCGAGCTCGTGACATGAAGGGGTTCACTGCAGCCGTGTCGAAAAGAGCTTTCGGAGCGATTTCTGATTTCCTTCTTACAAGCCATAATTACTTTCAGCCTCCCAACAAAACCAGCTTCGAAGCAGCCAGCCGGAGATTTTTGCTACAAAAATAGTGAAACGGAACAACTCTGGCTGCTCCAAAACTCAGGGGTGAGCGACGCGAAGCTCCACGTCCCCTTTCCCAGCCTGCTTCCGACGATTTGACGTTTTCCAGGCATCTGGTGGCAGCGGGGAAGGACAGAGAGAGAAGACAAAGGGTCTGCCAGCGCAGGTGCCCATCCTGGGATGGGATAACTTGCTTTTTGGTGGCATCTCACCATCCTTCTCCACCTCATCCCAGGTCCATGGGTTCACAACCCCGCAGCTCTGTTAAATCCTTAGCTCCTCCACAGAAATAACCACGTTGAGTGGCCCTAACCAGGACTGAGAGAGTTTTGAGCTGGACCGTGTCCCTCAGTGCCATCTCCGTGCAAGGTTTGCTGTGATTTTGGGGATGCTGCAAAGGCTGGGGAGCGTCTTGGCATGAAGCCAGCGGTGCCCACTTGTCCCGTTTCCTCCTATTTTTGCTCCTGAGCTTGTAATCCTAAATCATCAAGAAGCAGCGGGGATCCGAGCTTGGATCCCGATGGGTTTTTAACTGATTGGGCCTCGGTGTCGCCTTCCTCCGCCGTGTTGTTTTACACCCAGTGTCGCCTTTCAGGGCAAGGCGAGCAGTTAACCTTTGTGCCGAGCGGCGCCGGGGAGGAAGTTCATTAAAGCAAACCAATTTGCAGCGTGGAAACGATGGATTAGCTCAGCTTGGAAAATCAAGCAGGGCTGGGGATGGCTGGAGGAAGCAAAAAGAGTAAAAACTGTCGCTTGGTTGGACACTTCTGTACCGTGCTAGGGCTGGGTCTGGCTAACGAGGCTTTCTTGAAGCGCCCAAGGGATGGAGGTTGTGCCAAAGCGAGACCTTCCTGAAACGCCCCGAGCTTTTGCAGGAGGTTTTGAGGACAATTGGTGGTGACCCGGTGACATCCATCCCATCCTGGGCTGCATCCCAAGCAGCGTGGGCGGCGGCTCGAGGGAGGGGATGGTGCCCCTCTGCTCCACTCTGGTGACACCCCCACAGCGGTTCTGGGTCCGGGTCCCCAACACCGGGAGGATGTGGAGCTGTTGGAGCGGGTGTGGAGGAGGCCGCGGAGATGCTCAGGGGGCTGGAGCAGCTCTGCAGTGAGGATGGGCTGAGGGAATCGGGGGTCTTCAGCTCCGGG